CATCATATAATAAGGATACGGGTGGCTCCAAAGCCAATTCATGTGCCATGCATGATCTCCTGCCGACACTCCGTCGACCACAAATAATAGTCCGTAGAACTTCACTTGTGCACCACCGACACCTTATCACCCTCACTGGCCAGTCACCTCACAAACTTGCCCGGGCGAACGAAATCACAAACTTGAGCTTGAGTCACAAGCTCGGGTCACAAACTTGGTCACCTTCTCGGTGAACCGGATTCACAAAATTGGTTCATAACATGAACCTACAAACTTGGTGACCTCAGACTAAGTTGGACTGCCTTCGACCAAGCCCTAACCGGCTCGAATAGTCCAACCAGGTCAAGAGTTCGCCCTAAACTCACAAACTTCACAAAATTATTCAAAATCACAAACTTTGCAAACTTCACAAACTTTATTCGAAAGTCGCCCCGAGCCACAAGCTCAAGGGTTTTGGTTCCAAAAGGTTCATATACATATGCCAAGTACAATTATACATTCAAATTAGGGTTTAGGTCGAGTGCGATAAAGTACACCCTCGCCTAAGTGCCCTTTTCACATATCTCAAACACATAGCAAAGAAAACACACCAAACTGGCCTGAATACTTACCCAAAATACAAAAGTAGTACTAAAGCAAAATCGCTTCGCGCGTGTTCGCTAGTAGTGGGCCCCACCGGCTCCGCCTAACTCACCACTGTCTGAAATAGAAGATTGTGTCATAATATATCACAAACGGCCACTAACGTACTTAAAACAAGCAAAACGGCAAAATTGGCAAGCGCCAGTGCGGAAACGGCAAACGGGACGGCCAGATCTGCCATCTCAAACCGTTTTGGTCAAAAGTTAGGCTAGGAGTGTCGGATCAAGGTGGGTGAGACACCGTTTCGAAGCTAAAAGGAAGAGCTACAACTTTAATTTAGGTATCTCAATCCAGATCTCAATAGGTATAGGTCAAAAATGCACGAAACAGTGCCAGCTGTTTCATTGCGGTTTACCAAACAGGCCCTGTTTGCAAGGCCGTAACTCACGGCTCAGAAATCGAAATCAAGAAATTCCAGAGGCGTTAGAAAGCTGAAACATAAGGCTAAAACTTTGATGTTTTGGCCAAGATCTGAATCCACTCAGAATAGAACGAAAATCGAGTGCCAAAATACCCGTCAGAACTGTCCAGATACAAGGCAGTTCTGACGATCTATATTGTTTGGGTCATAACAGAGGCTACGGAACTCGGATTCCGACGTACTTTATACCGTTTCGAAGCTGAGACCAAGATCTAAATTTCTTATGAAGGAGTCGACACCCAGATCGAATGGGATCAATACAGAAAAACCCACGGTCAGAAACTGAAATTCAAAACGTACACAAACGAACGTCTAAAACAGGCCTGATGGTTTTGTCCATAACTCAGGATACACTAATCTGTTTGACCTGAAATTTTACAAGTAGATTCAGGACCTAAGAGGCTACAATGTTGAAGAAGGCCACTCAATCCAGTTTCGAGTGTAACTAGGTCAAAAATGCAAGATACTACACCAGCATCGCAAAAACAGATTCACAAAATGTATTCTAGCACAAACATCATAAAACAGGCTACCTAAGTCCAAATTCCGAGATTCCAAAGCCATATGAAATCTAAGATTTAAGGCTACATTTCATCAGAAGACCATAACAACCAATTCAGAAGCAATCCCAACCAAAACAACCAATTACAATCGCAGTTCTTACATTCGGCCAAAACCAGAACAGCAAGGGTAAATTCGACTTTTCTCACTCTACGCTACTCCGATTGACCTGAAATTTTACAGGCACCTATAAAATGTCATTACCTACAACTTTCATGTTTTAAGCCAAGGCCAATTCGGCCTCTATCTATGACCAAAATTTTCGGACAGAATGAAGAACCAAGAACCCTAATTTTTCCAGATTTCTTCCAAAACAGAAATTACTTGAAATCTTCCACTTTTTCCACCCTCTAGAATCATTATATACCATTTCCAATCATCATAAACAACCACACCATCATAATCCAATTAAACCAGAAAAATCATCATAAAATAGAAAACTTCACCAAATCACTCCAAACCAAGATAAAAACCAGAAATTTCAGCACTTGAATCACCAATAAGCATAACATAAGCATCATTAGGTGTAGTAGGGTGGTTCAAGCCTCACTTACCAAGAAACAAGAGAGAGGAAGATGTTGGTCACCTTAGCTCTTCCAAAAAGCTTCACTAAACAACTTACTAACACTAATAGGAGAGGTTTTATGGAGTAAGTTCAAGATTAAACGGTTAAGTTGTTGATTTGGGCAAGATTAGAGCAAGGAATTGAGAGAGGTTTTTCTTCTTTTGCTTGGAGAGAGAGTCGGCCAAGAGGGAGAAAAGAATGAGGAATTTTTGGTTATTTTTGGTGATTTATTTGGTCAAAATAGAAAAAGGTGAATAGTGGTCTTATGGTAAGATTAAATCTTATGGTGACACTTGTCACCTTTTATTAAATATCTACCTAACTTTTCTCTCTCATATCAATCCAAATTGCAACCTCTACTTATCTCTTAACACCCGGTAAATTACCAGTATCCGAAACTTAACCTAATCGGCCGAATTTTTCCGAACTTTTCGCACTAGTGGGTCCCACGTCCGATATACGTTCTTAATTTCTCAAAAACTAACTAATACTAGAAAAATCATCTAAAAACTCTAGTTACTCAATAAAAATTATCTGGGGAATTTTCTAATAAAGAAAATGTAGGAAAACGGGTTTTCAATCTTAACCGGAACTAGGGTTTAAATCTTAATCCCTACTTAGGGTTTTCGAAATACTCCCAAAACCAAACGTTACCGCCCAATTAATGAATATATCAACGTAGAACGAACTGGGGCCTCACAATCTCCCCCACTTAGGACAATTTCGTCCTCGAAATTGCAATCAACGAGCTAAGGGTTGAAAAACTCGAAATAATCAAAAGATCAAAAGGTGTACATATATATACAAGTCACGCCAAAATGTACGCAATATAATGCACCATATACACCAAGAGACATTTCAAGTTAGACAAAGTCAAGTGCAGCAAGTACTATAGATGCAGGTATTAACATACCACAAGTAAATGACATGTAGGGACAATACAAGGGCAAATGAAAGAAACGCGACTTGTCGTCCCACACTCAGTGAAAACCACCCTCGTCCGGTTTCTTACTCCACTTCCCAAAGTGCCCGTTGATCTCTTGTACTCACTCTAGCCAGACAAAGCTTGTTCATGTTCCCCAAAATGCAAATCTCAAGTACTTAGCAGCGCCTCAACTCTGGAGTACTCAGGCACAAGAATCCGAAATAAGATAATTCACATCTCAAGCTGCAGTCCCAAGAGTAAACTATCTACAATCGAAATTCCTACCTGACGAACCTACCTATGGTCCTCAGATACCATGAGAAAGATTTAAGGCCTATAACATTTATGATCCATAACTTATGCTTGACCGAGCATCTAGTCCTTCATACTTATTCACCACTTCATCCAGGCTCACCCCGCGCAGAGACCACGCGAAGCAGCTATAGGTTTTATCCCTCAATTGCTTAACTTTCAAATAAAATCAAATCCCACAGTCCGGCATCCTAAACTTTCAGCCTAGGATACACTACAGAGATCTGAAGCCTAAGCTCTGATACCAACTGTGACGACCCCACTTCTCCCAAGGGCGAACCCAAGGGTATCGGCGGGCCGCCTGCCTAGCTCGCGCCAGGACTCAAAACTTAAAGTTCGAAAGAGCACTAAATACAATATATACAATCCCAAAAGAGTTATAATTACATTCTCCAAAAGTATCGAGTCAAACCACCAAAACAAAAACAAACATCCTAACTGTTCAACTATTACAAGCCAAACTAACTATACTAGTATACGATCCTTTCTTGCTCAAGGTGGCCGGCCAACAAGGAGAGAAAAATGGTGATTTTTTTGGTGAATTTTGGATATTTAATCCCTTGGTCAAATAAGTCAAGACAATGAATAGTAATTCTTAAAAGTTCAACCAATAAGAAAGTGACATGTGTCACTCTATTAAATGCATCCTTATCATACTTTTCTCTCTCACATCAATCACTTCACACACCCTACTTATCTCTTAATACCCGATAAACTTTTAACAGTATCCGAAACTTAACCTTATTGGCCGAATTTTTCCGAACTTTTCGCACTAGTGGGTCCCACGTCCAATATTTATTCTTAATTTTCTAAAAACTCACCAATGCTAGAAAAATCATCTTAAAACTATAATTGCTCATAAAATCCTCTCAGAAAATATTTCTAAGCCAGAAAATACAGAAAACATGCAATTAAGGGGAAATAAACCCTAGGAAAATAATTAGGGTTTTACGGGTTCTCACAGTTTTCGATCCTTACAATTGGTATCAGAGCTTGGTCTCCTAGAGATTAAGCTCAATCGGCTTGGGAGTAAAAATGACAACCAATAATGCTATGTTTTTTGAAGGACATTCTGTGATTAGACCACCTATGTTTAATGGGTCAAATTATGTGAGTTGAAAAGAAAGAATGATAATTTTTTTGCAATCTATTGATATTGAATTGTGATTTATTATTAGTGAAGGTCCATATTATGCCTCTCTTATAGATGAAAATTGTGGCGACCCCACTTTCCCCTAAGGCGAACCAGAGGGTTGGCGGGCCGTCTGCCTAGCTCTCGCCAGGACTCACGTAAGCAAGCTAGCAAAAATCCTTTCGAAGTATAACCTAATCTATTACAACATCGTTTCCCTCCAAATAAGCCGGTTTCTAGAATCACATTAACTTCAGAGATAACAGTGCCTTAAGATAGCCAACGTCGATTCTTAAAATACCTTCCCGAATACAACCCAAGAAACAAAAAAAAATCAATTCAAATACATCCTTACAAGCCAAGTAACAAATTCATACAAGCCACATACAAATCCAGGTTTACACTTTTCCAACTTCAAGTGGCAACCCGAAACAAAAAAGCTACATTGTTTAATTCAAACTACATGCTTAAAGTACAAGTAGATCTCAAGTCTTCCTCAGTTGTCAGAACCTGTAAAAGAAAACCACAACGTGGGATGAGCTACACAGCCCAGTGAGGTTCCAAGACGCTCTACAGTTCAAATAGGTCAGGTAAGTTGTGCATATCATATGCATGATTCGGGTTACACAATGGCATGTTACATGAGGTGATAATCATTACATGGGTAGTTGCTACCTTCAAAACACATGTAGAACTAGTACTTTTGGAATGAATGGCCATATAAATATATTTTCATAAATTTTCAGTCAAACAAATAGTGGCTCGTCCGACTAGAAGAACATTACAAGGATTGCTTCATCTCAGAGGTTAATGCTCATGAGGAGTCTTACCCGAGAATGCCAACTAGGAGAGCAATAATATTATTAATAGTAAAGCAAGCACGAAAGGATACGGTGTTCCAGTGGAACTTTGCCGGTCATCTGCACCTTATAACTCCCGGATCCCACGGTTGACTGGCCATCACCTTATCCCTCCAGTGGTAATACTCGAGTATACCGAAACGGTTGTCCAGGGTTCCAACCTACCCGACCGAGCCCAGTCCTGGCTCGAGTAGGTCAGTAACCGAGGCGGGGCCCAAGTTCAGCTTATAGCTTACAACATGCACAGGTAACAAAGTAATTCGACAAAAGTAAAATTCATCATTTGAATAGGTCGAGAGAGGTAAAGTACACACTCGCCTAACAATGATGGACAACTTCATATGAGCATATAATTTATGATAATCAAGTAATGTAACCACATAGATTAGAAAACGGTAAGTAAACACGGTTAACGGTAAACGATAAACGGTAAACGGTAAACGGTAAACGGTGGTAATTACGGTTAATTGGTAGACATATGTCATTTTAATAGGCCGCCATTGGCCGTTTTGCACTTTACCACGTAAGAGTCGAGGAGATTCACTCCAACGACGCAACCACATTTAGATTCACAGATTCATTAGAAAATATTTCACACACTTCACCACTCGAACGGTTAGTGTGATAAAGTACACACTGCGCACTTCGATGGATCGGAACTTATTTCCCAAATTGTCACATAACGAGTCACAAGAGCACTTTAACCAAATAAGCATAAAATAAGCAGGCTAAGCACATATTGAGTTTACAAGATTATTTGATAGGGTTAATCATTTAACCAATTCATGTCGATATGCAATGTATATATATTTCTTAAATAGGCACGAGTATGGTAAATACTTAACGATCATGAAATGAGCATGTCCTAGACTTACTCAATTACGTATTCATATATGGAACACTCACCTAGTCAAACAAGGGCAATAGGTTCAATTTGAAGTTCAAGTGTCCTCTGTCGGATCCTCTTAAAGGTCCTCGCGTGCGCCTGAACGAATAGTAATAGTCTATCATTTACAATTCCTACTATTGTTGAAAATCGTGTCATAGACAAACTTAGGAAAAATCTCGTGAACAAGTCTTAATTATCCTAAATCTAAATTCTCAAGCGGGGTTTCAAGGTACAAGAGAAATTAAGTCTACATCATGAAATTCAAGGATAAGACATTTGAATATTATCGAAGGAATAAGAGTACTTGAAAAACTCCATTTCCTTGGAATACGGAAAATTTCAGTTTTGATGCAATACTTTGAAAAATCGTAGCTCACCTTTTACATGTCAAAGATTGGAAAACTTGGTACCGTTGGAAACTTCCTTCAAAATGCTAAAAGTTCCTAGAATACACTTTTTCATTATTCTAAATGGAAGATAGTCAAAATGGGCTCAAAGTTACTGTTTTGGTTCATAAGGCAGATTTAAGTTAGTTTTTGGCCAACTTTGGAAATTCGGCAAAATTCACTTGTTTGGAAATAGCTTTTGAAATTTGCAACTCTATTAGTGTTGTAATTCAAGAGTATAACAAAACAAACGGAATGAGGAACGGAGTTTTGAGCACCAAGATACGGTAGCTCAAAGTTACTAAAATTTTCTTGTTAAACAAGGGTTTTCCAAAATCAAGTCTCGAACTTTGGTAATTTATTTGACCCATGAATCGGTCTCGGAATAACACCATAATTAGCAGTATAATACTACCATATAAGGGTTGTTCCTCTACCAAATTTCATGGAAAAATAACTTCGGAAAGGTGGTCAATCAAACACCTAAAATTTCGCAAATACTAAGACAAAACTGCCTTGAACCTTTTGTTTTTCCATTTCAGACATTTGGTCAAAGAAACATTCCTCCAAACCTGGTTCATTTGTTTAGGCAAAACTTAAAGAACGTTCATGGTGCATTTGGTAAGTGTTTAGCATCAAAATATTCAGTTAGCAAGTCTTTGCCAAACCTTGCATCAAATCTGTCTAAAAAAATCAGGGTTTTCAAGGACAGAGAGGTTTCATATTTTGATCACAGATCACTCAAATTAACTCAGAATTTGGCATGGTTTAAGGCGTTGGAAAATACATTCATAGAGCTATAATTTCACAGAAGAAATCATTTTGAAATTCGGAACACAACTAGCTCGAATTTGAGTCACAAGTTGCAGCCTCAGCATTTTGTTCTTGTAAAGCAGAGAAACAGAACAGCCGACTTAAAATAGTTGGTTTGGCTCACATACATGGAACCAGAATGTGAATTTTATATCGTCGGAAAGGTTGGAATGTCTAGTTTCAAATGCCGCTGACGGCACTCGATTTCGACATCGGAGTTCAAAATTATGGCCGAAATACGAAAGCTGGTCAGAGCATTTCGGGAATAGTTCCAGATTTACTAGCTTTGTTAAATCGATTTATTTGACCAACCAAACCTCAATATTTTTCAATGAAACTTTGTACACCATATATTCAACATATCAACATGATATACAAGTCATGAAACTCTCAAAATTTTGCAAAAAGGGTTGCGATTAAAACAGGGCAAATCTGAACATTTTTTTGAACGATGCATCTTTTGGAGTCTAGACTAGCTAGGTATCATTAATCTACCTATTTAAACACTAAACTAGCATTATATCCATCATCAATCCAAGGGTGGGAGTTCATAGAGCCCACCATCAAAATTTTCCGACATGAAATAAAACAAATAACATGTAATTTTGGCAAATAATTCCACCACAATAAATCTGTCATCGGCTAAACAGAATTTCCAGCAGCTAATTGGTCATAACCCAACTTTTTACTCGGCTAAAACATGATATTAAGTACTCAATTTCAGCATGCAAATACTTGACTAGCTAATCAGATCATCCAAGTCATTGTGGAATTCATAGAGCCCACTCACCAAGTTTCCATTAAAACTCAAAAGAGCTACCATCGGCTAAGCTGGAAAAAAAATTGCAGCAGCTATGTTTCAACATTTTTGGTCAATTCATCCAACGGATCAAGTACTTTACAACTGAATATCTTACAAGACTTAAGACACATATATTTCATGAATTAACTTATCTTAACCAATTAACACTTCCAGTTCACAATTAAGTTCAAACAACAATCATAAACCTCAAAATTTCCAGGTTCAAACTCACGTTAGTTCACAAAATTTTCCAGCAGCTTGGGTGTTCTTAATTCAGCTTTTCCTCGGCTAAATCAAAGTGTTAAGGCTCAAATTCAACATGTCATCACTTAACTAGTTAATTAACATATCTAGCTCAGAATTAAGTTCGATTAACAACTACCAATTTTCCCCAAAATCCAGAAATTTTCCCAGTTAGCCTCGATTGATCATGCATGAAACAGATTTTGTTTTCGTTTTGTTTTCTTGGTTAGCCGAGTTAATCATCCTCATTCCAGCCTCAATCGTCATGTTGTTAGCTAGATAAACATGGATATCAACTCAGATTATCACATTTAATTACATTAGACTGCATTTCAACATTTCCAGCTCACGGTAATTCCATTTCATCAAACAGATTTTTCTCAAACTTCTGATTTCAACATCCGATCGAATAACTCTACATGCAAGGCCATAATCTTCCTATTTTCACTTAGCTAATCACCATGCATGCTCAGATGATCTCAGGGAAACAAAATTAAAGCTGCAACTCCTCATCCATTCTCGGCAGAACCAAATGCTACCGAAACAAATTTTTCCTAAGTTTTGATTTCATCATCCGACTGCACAATCAACATGCATGTCCATAGACAGTTCAATCTACCACTAATCAACTTATTCTAGTTCAGTAATTACCTAACAATGAAGGTTATACGCACGGCAGAAAGCTGAAGTTTCTCCCCTCTTGATTCACACGTGACTGGATGTGATGTTCTTGGTTGCAGAGGTTGCAGTAGTTGCGGCTGGAATTGATGGAAATGGTGATGATTAGCAGCTGGGTGAGGTTTAGAAAATGCAGAGGAAACTCACGCACGGCCTCTCCCTCTCTTCCCTCGAGCTCACGGACAGAAACAGGAAAGATTGCAGCTCGCGATTCCTTTCTGGTTCCAGCCTCTGGTCCGAAAGGAAATGGAAGCTCTCACATTCACTTCCGGTCGATGTTTACGAGGTGAAGGATGAAGTGTGGTCTGAGATGAATGGTTGCAGAGGATATGGAGTTGCGGTAGTGGTTTGTGATTTAGAAATGAAGTAGAAAATATGGTGCCGCGGTTTTGGAGAAGGAAGAAAGAATGGTTTACGGTTTTGGAGCAGAGGTTGCGTATGTGCGAATTGCGTATCGAATTGGATAAAATGTGATTGGCCGATAGTTGTGGTGATTAAATTGTTGTCAGAGGTTTCGTTTGGTTTGCATGGAAATGTAAGGGCATTTTAGTCTTTTCACTTTGCTCCCCAACCTCAACTTAATTTCTCAAATCCAACTTAATTCTAAAAATTATCCCCAAGCGTGATTTAAACGCCTAATTATACCCTAATACACCTAAACCATTTTTATCGAATAATTATCGATTAAACTTGAATATTGAGATTCCTAGTAATTCTTATATTATTTAGCGATTAAATTAATTATTAGAATTTCCAATTATTATTTCTCAAGGAATAGAGTTAGTCTAACTCGAAATTTATCGATTTAGTAATGTAAAGTCAAGTGAAATAATAATCAAATCCAAGAATGTCAATTTGCACATAAAAATTATTTTTACGCACTTATTGTGAAAACAAAGAAAGATAAGAATATATTTATCGAATTTTTCACACCTTAATTATGTTTAGTATACTTGTATCATGTTTATCTAAAATTTATAGGCTTTGTCTCATAGTGAACATTCTTATTAGTGTTTAACATTATTCACTAATTTAGAATTAGTTATAGAAATTCAAGAAATTTTATATACTTAATCTACTCAGGTAACATTAATTTTCAACATTAAGAAAACTAAGTATTTTAGTATTTTATTTTAAGGCGATAAATTAATCTAACTCAAGAAATATTAATTTAATATAGCAAAACGAATAATTCAATATTGGCACAATTATATTATTTATTACTTAAAAATTATCTCTACACTTTTATTTCAAAACAATTAATTACCATTCTAGAATTCGAAGAAATTAATGATTAGATCAATGAAATAGTTTACCATCGAAATATGAAGTTAATGTAACAAAACCACGAAGTTTAGTAGTTTAGCACAATTCTTTTATTTTGTATATAACGTTTAATTCTACATACTTATTTAGAAACAATTTGACTTCGTGCTAAAATTTATTAAAGAATTAAAATGCAAATAAAATATGCACTGATATTTATGTCTATTTTTCAGGGTTCTCACAAAAATACTCATAGATCTAGACCAAAAACAAGAAGTGAACTGACTGCTATAGGCAGAACTCATCTCACCTTAAATGCTAAAGCCATGAATGTGTTATATTGTGCTTTAGACTCAAATGAATCTATTAAAATCAAAGGCTGCAAGTCAGCCAAGGAAATTTGTGATAAACTGAGAGAAATTCATGAAGGTAGTGAGAATGTTAGAGAACAAAATAAATCCATTCTGATTACCGAGTATGAATCGTTCAAGATGGAACCTCATGAAAACATTGATGAGATGTACTGTAGATTCAATGACTTCATTAAGGACTTAGAGGTGCTAGAAAAAGAATATTCTGTAGGTGAGAAAAATAGAAAAATCTTGAATGCCTTATCCAATGATTGGGAAAATAAAGTGACTGCTATTGAGGAGGGTAAAGATTTGAATACTATGCCTATTGAATCTCTTATTAATTCTCTAACCTCTTATGAGCTGAAACTTAAATCCAAAGTGCAAGAGGAGGAGGATGCGAAAGTAAGAAAGAATATTGCTCTGAAGGCTTCACAAGATGAAGATGATCCAGCCTCCGTGAGTGAAGATGACATGGAAGGTGATGATAGTGATATTGCACTCATCACACGAGACTTCAAAAGAATACTCAACAAGAGGAAATTCAGAAAAAGTGGACCTAACAACTCCTTCCCGAATCAGTCCAACAATTTGAGAAACAAAGGGAAGATAGAGTTCAATAAAAATCAAGCTGATAAGTGCTTTGAATGTGGCCAACCTGGACACTATGCAAGTGAATGTCCAGTGATGAAGAAGAAAGAAAACCAAGATTCAACAAATTTCAATTCACATGGAATGAGTGCAACTCCGATGGTAAAATTGAAGAGGATGAAGAATCTGTTCAATTGGCTTTTATGGCCATTGGAGATGATGAGGTAACATCTTGTAACTCTCAAGTTGAAAGTGATGATGAAACTGAACTGATGATGATCTTGAATCTTTCATTATAAAATTGCGTGATAGTTTGAAAGAATCCTATACTAGAAACAAGGAGTTAAAACAGAAAAATAGTTTTTTGCTTCGAGATAATGCAAATCTTTTTCAAAAAATAAAAATTTTAAAGCTGAAAATGATTATTTTAAAAAGTGTGAGACTGCTTTACATTTTGAACTTGATAGAAAAACAAAAATTTGTGAATTGTTCAAAAGGAACAAGGTGATTTGAAAAGAAGAATGAATGGTCTAAATGAGTTGCTTAAACACAAGAAACAAAAGTAATCCAAAAGTTACTACATGTTTGGCTTGCCAAATTAAAGTGAAAACGGCCCTAAAGATACATTTAGGGTCCCACTTCATATACAATACAAAAGAAATATTCATCTAGTTCATTTAGCAACCAACTAGCAAGAATCATTCCAAAAGTAGTCATATGCCTGTAAGGAAAACAAAAGGAACGGTGTGAGCTAATTGCCCAGTGAGATACTATCACTTACGCAACCAATTGCATATAAGCATCAAACTTTCATTCAATATAGTCAAATAAGCAAAGGCACACGTCAAATAGGGTGATAAAAGGATACAGCTGGCTCTCAAGAGCCCTTTTCCTCGTTTGCATTTCTTGATCGGACGTCATTGACTCTCCGTCAATGTTCAACAATAACCAACTGTAGACTCCACTTTACTTCCATTCCTTCCACCTAACATTCCCCAACCGGCCCGAAATCCAAACACTTGCATTGTGGTATTACTCGAGTAAACCGGAATCGAGAGTCTCTCATACTACAAGATTCCATATAACATTGCCCATGGCACATTAATTGGCACGACCAAGCCCTCGCCGGCTCGATTCAATCAATTACCAATGGGGTTGAGCTCATTGATAACATTTGTAGTCGTTGGAGACTCGTCCAAACGACACCAAGTCATGCATTTCATTTCATATAACATTCCAATAACTTTTCAATAACATGCGAACCAATAAGTGAGAATGATAAAGTACACTCTCACTTCAATCAATTAACATTCAACATCTCAAGTTCAAATATCAAAGCCATATAATAGCACACAAGTGAGTAGTACACTCACCAAGCTCGCAAATGTGGTTTCATGCACTTCCGTCAAAAGAACGTTGTGCACCACGGTCACGTCCTAAAACATGCAAACAAATACAATGAGACTCGATAACGAGTCATAACCAAGGCCAAACATGACCCCAATAGGGTTCCATAAGCATATACAAACATTAAAGGAAACCAGAAATTTTGGAAATGTAATTAGCTTTGGCCCTAAAAAAAACAGTTTTTGTCCTCGTTTTGCGGTAATAGCACCAATTTCACTATGATTATCGGATGAGGGTACAAGACCCACCATTTCGAAACTAAAAGACAGGGCTATAACATCACAGAAGGACACTCAACCCAGTTTTGAGTTCAAACAGGTCAAAATTGCAAGATACTACATCAAAAACGTAAAACAGATTCACAAAATGCATTCCAGCGGAAACATCATAACTCAGGCTCTACAAGTTCAAATCAAGAAATTCCAAAACCAGATGAAAGCTAAGAAACAGGGATAAATTTCATCAGAAGGCCTCAACAGCCAATTCGGAAGAAATTCCAGCCAAAACAACCATTACAGACGCACTTCTCAATTTCGGGTAAAACCAGAACAGCAATAGTAATTTCGACTTATCTCATTCTAAACTACTCGATTGACCTGAAATTTTGTAGACATATCTAAAATGTCATTCCCTAAAACTTTCATGTTTTAAGCTAAGGCCAATTCGGCCTCTAAATAGGACCTAAAATTTCGGACAGAATGCCCCCTCAAGAACCCTAGTTTTCTGAAATTTCTTCCAAACCAGAAATTGGTTGCAATTAATCATTTTTCCCACCTCCTTAAGTCATTATAGACCATTTCCAAATATCATAGATAGCCACACAATCATGCTTATATTAAAACAGAAAAATCCCCAAAAATAATAAAACTTCATCATTTCAACCACAAATCAAGAAATAATCCATAAACTTGCATCTCTTACCACCACTAAGCATGATTTAAGCATGAATTAAAGGAGGATGGTGGTTCTTCACAACTTACCTCAAGAACAAGAGAGAGAGAGCTATTGACCACCTTAACTTGCCAAACAACTCCACAAATCCACTCACTAACTCTAATTGAAGAGGTTTTATGGAGTAATTTCAAGGTTGGATGGTTAGTTTTGATGATTTGGAACAAGATTGAAGTGTTTTCTTCCTTGTGCTTGCAGTAAGAGAGAGAGAAAGGGAGGAAGAGAGGGCCGGCCACTTCTTGATGTTTTTTGAAGATTTTTGGTCAATTTTAAGCTATTTTAACCAATTTGGTAAAAAGGTCAAAAGGTGAATAGTTGTGGACAACTCAATCCAATCACATGGTGACACTTGTCACCTCATTTAATGACTTGCCTAACTTTTTTTTTGTCTCTCATACACCTATCCACTTGGTACCTCTAAATATCTCACAGCACCCGGTAAATTAATTCCAGTATCCAAAACTTAACCTAATTGGCCGAATTTTCCCGAACTTTTCGCATTAACGGGTCCCACGTCCGATATATATCTTTAATTTTTCAAAAACTATCCAATACTAGAAAAATCATCTAAAAACTATATTTACTCATAAAATTCACCAAGAAAATTTTTCCCTAAGCCAGAAAATGCAGAAAACATGCCATTAAGGGGAAAAACCCTAGGAAAAATATTAGGAGGAATTTACGGGTTCTCACACTCTCTCCCCCTTAAAAGAATTTTGCCCTCGAAATTTCTCACCTTAACTCCCGAAAAGATTTGGGTATTTCTTTCGCATTTCTTCTTCCACTTCCCAGGTAGCTTCCTCTAACCCATGGTTTCTCCATAGTACCTTCACTAACGGAATCTGCTTGTTTCGGAGCTCTTTGAC